AGCTACAATTCGTTCTAGCTAGAACACCCCTACATCCCATCGTCTCTACTATCAACTCCCCCACCTATAAACTGGCATGTTTTCTTGCTGATATACTGCGATCTTTCACTGGAAAAACCACCTCTGCGGTACTAAATTCTACTGACCTGGTATCGACAATCAAAGGCATTTCCCTGTCCCCAGACGACCTGCTTGTCAGTTTTGATGTGGTGTCCTTGTTCACCAAAGTCCCGGTACCTGACACCATCGCTATCATTGAAGACTTGGTTCATCAAGGACTGCATACTGATGTACCCCCCCTGGTGAGACATTGCTTAACCAACACATACTTCACCTGGAATGGAACTTTCTACAAACAAACTGAGGGCACCCCAATGGGCTCCCCCCTATCTCCAGTTGTAGCCAATGTATTCATGGAAAAAAATTGAAACTGACACCATCCAGACTGCCACTCTACACCCGACCTTATGGAAGAGGTACGTGGATGACACTTTGTCATCTGGCCACATGGCCAGCCTGCTCTAGACCAATTCCGTGACCACATCAATTCCATACACCCAGCTATCAGATTTACCATGGAGGTCGAAAAAGATGGCAAACTACCCTTTTTGGATGTCTTAATTAAAAGGAGACATGATGGTTCAATGAGCCAATCTGTCTACAGGAAAACTACCCATACAGATGCTTACTTGAAACCGGATTCCCACCACCATCCATCCCAGAAGAACTCCCTCATCAAGACTCTATACCATAGAGCCCAATGCATTTCCGACGAGGAACACATTACCAGTGAACTCAAGCACGTACCCCAGGCTCTCAGGGCTAATGGTTACTCTGACTACACAATCCGCAAAGCCATCACTCCAGTCATGAAGAAGGATCCTCTTGTGGAGCCACTCAAAACCATCACCTTACCCTACATTGCAGGGGTCACTAAAAAGATCTCCAAAATCCTGAATAAACACAAGATCCAGGTCCGATTCAACACAGTACATAAAATCCGTGATCTGGTTCCATCTGTAAAAGACGCTGTTCCAGACATTCAGTACCCGGGCGTTTACAAATTAAAGTGCCTCTGTGGTAGTAGCTACATTGGAGAAACCAAACGACATATCTCGGACCGCATCCGCGATCATGAAGCAGACTTGAAACACGGTAGAACGAACTCCTCTGCCGTGGCAGATCACTGTTATAATTCAGTGGGCTCACATGACATTGACTTCTCCAAGACAGAGGTTCTCTGCAAACCAACCGGCTACCATGAGAGATTCGTTCATGAGGCCATTCACATATACAAGCACAGAGACAATTTCAACTGAGAAGATGGATTTTGGCTTAGTAACCATTGGAAAGATGTTTTAAACCATTTCTGTTCTTAATTAATTGGATTTTACGATGACCTTCAGACCGCAGCTCTTTCGCTGGCATATTGACTCTTAATACCTCTCACACCACGGTTAATGGTATGGTTTACAACATGGAGTATAACAGCGCCTCGCAGCTGTCTCTCTCCCCCTCCTCCATTCCGACCATGGATGAACTTGTCCGTCTGAACGGGGCTCGTAGCTATCCGTGGTGCTAAAGTTGAGGGTAAGAATCCACCCATTTTTTCGCTATATAGCATTGTCATATATAACGACTTATTGTTGGTAGCTTAGCTGATTGGAGAATATATAGAGTTTATTGATAACATTGAGGTAATTCATATTTGAGTTTATTGGTTTACTATATAGTATTCATTATATAGTGTAGTGTATACCCAGTTACTGTTAATAGCTCAGCTTATTGAAGAATATATTGAGTACATTTATTCTGTGGATGTGTATGCCTTGACTTTAACATAGCCATTTCTGTGACCAGTCACAAGCTAATCACTCAGCTATTTCAATGCTAAAATCTATGCTAATTACTTTGTCAAGGGGTGCCTCTGTGGATGTGTATGCTTTGACTTTAACATAGCCATTTCTGTGACCAGTCACAAGCTAATCACTCAGCTATTTTAATGCTAAATTCTATGCTAATTCCTTTGTCAAGGCGCTCCGTTTCTTCTCACACAGCTTAAAGGTCGCGGTCTGAGCTTGGCTGTGTTCGCTCCAGCGCTGTCCTCCAGACAGTCTCGTCCCTTCACCTGATGAAGGCCGCTTGTGTTGTGGCCAAAACGACGTGATAATTTGATTGTGTTATTTTATTTTATCAATTTATTATTTTATTCTCATTCTACGTGACTTTACCGAAAGAACCAAAGAAGATGAATCCTTGCAGTCACGAAAGCTTTAAATCGAAATCCACCCTATAGTCCAGACAGAATGGCTCACATCCAACATTTTATCAATGTATTATTTTATTCTCATTCTACGTGACTTTACCGAAAGAACCAAAGAAGATGAATCCTTGCAGTCACGAAAGCTTTAAATCGAAATCCACCCTATAGTCCAGACAGAATGGCTCACATCCAACACAGCCAGCCTCTAGCCAAAACCTAGAACCTTACCATCCACCCAGAGTATACATTTACAAATGGGACACATCCATAACTAGAACAGCAGGCTCATGTTTTGACATGTGACTATTCTCAGAACATGGAGAAATTGGTAAATTTATGGTTTGAGACTGCATCTTGCAAAGCAGTGCACCTTGAAAACAGGGGGATGTTTGATGTTGAGATTAATGATGCAACTGATTTATATATATTAACTGTTATATAAACACACAAAGCAGTGGCAATTTAATTCATCTCAGAGGAATAATGGGCTGAGTCGACCAAGTGTGTGTACATCAAACATGTGGCTACCTGCCAAACTTGTCAGAACATTTGTGGGTGCGTCCATTTCATCAAAAATATTTACGCAACCACATACTATTATTATTACTTATTGTGAATCAAAACAGGTCCGATGAAAAATACCCAATTACGTCGTCCATCCGTGGGGCTTGAACAATCTCGCATTCACAAACTGGTGCGACGAGCGTTCCAATGGCCGAGTGTTTCCTCGTGTTTAGAGGTCCCTCACGCAGCAACCCCAGTGTGCGATTAAAGCCAGTTCAGAACGGTCGTTCAGTACCCCAGTGGCGAGAATGGAACGCGCGGATTAAAAAAACTGCTGCGGCGGATACAATCTTGGCCCGAAGAGCAGCACCGGTGGGGGCAAGGTGCAAGATGTGGCACAGGTCTGCGATAAGATGCAAGACATGTTAGCATCAGAAATTCCAAATGCCTTCGCTCCAAGGTCAGAGGGCAAAAGCGTCTCCCTGTTCAAACAAGGGGCAGTGTGGAGATCAACTCTGCTCGAGGCCCTCAGCCAGTGTTGTAAATTCGACATTCCTATGGCTGCAGCCTGCAATGAATGACGACTGCTGCCATTTAAATGAAGTGGTGCTCATTATTATTTTTTTCAATCCAGGCAGATGCCGAGTCGACCCATGACTGGAATTTTAAGTTGCACTTTTGCAGGAAGCACGAATGGAATTAACCTGGTGACCGCAGATGCCACTGAATGGCTTTATAAACTCAACATTTACAGAGAAAAGCACGGTCATTCATTTTTCAAATGCCATAGAAGGAAAATGTGTCTTTAGATAAAAGAGTAACAGACCAGTCGATGATGGTATCGAGACAGCTGACAGAGTCTGGTCTCTGGATGCAGGTTCAGAAGCGTAATTATTATCAAGACTTAACTGCTGCTGCCACTGTTAATAACACTGTAACAATTTTTTCTTTGTTCCTGGGTAGTAAGTGGTATTTCCTAATTGCTTATGGCTATTTCCCACAAACTTTGCTTTTGTGACCATTTTCAATGAGAACACGGGTGAATTTGTGTCTTTTCATTCACATAAAGTCAGAAAAAAACAACATATGAATCAAAATTAACATGTATTTATACTAAAGTAATACAAATGACTACAAAAGGTTTAGACACCAAGGAGCACTGCCACAGGCGGGACTGGCCACAGCGGACTGAGTTCTCTGGGGAGGAACAATGTCAAGTGGGAGCCACTGGTGGACCCCCGGAAGGTGCTGATGCCATCACAGCACATCAAACAATTTGTCAGAGCTGTAGATAAGGAGTCGGTAGCCTTCAAGTACTTCAAGACTTCTTCCCTAAGTTGTCTGAGGCAAAGGTCAAAGCCAGTGTCTTAGTCGGACCACAGATAAAAAAGAAGATTCTGGAGTGCAATGAATTCCCCAAGAAGCTCACTGGTAAGGAGAAAGCAGCATGGAACAGCTTTGTCGCAGTGATTCGTGGCTTCCTGGGCAATCACAAGGTCGAAAACTATGTGGAGCTGGTTGAGACTCTGGTGAAGAACAACGGCACAATGGGCTGTAGGATGTCTTCTCAAAGTCCATATCCTTGATGCACACCTTGATAAATTCAAGGAGAACATGGGAGCGTACTAGGAGGAGCAAGGCGAGCGCTTCCACCAGGATATACTGGACTTTGAACGCCGCTAGCAAGGACAGTATGACGAGAACATGATGGGAGCCTACATTTGGGAGCTGATTCCTGGAAGTTATTTACAGTTTCATCCTAAATCTCGAAAAAAAACTCACTTCTAAATCTTTTGTAGTCATTTTTGTAATACTTTAGTATAAATACATGTTAATTTTTATTCATGTTATTTTTTTCTGACTTTATGTTAACGAAAAGACACAAATTCGCCCGTTTTCTCATTGAAAATAGGTAAATTTCAAAATATCACTGTACTGCTCACAAAAGCAAAGTTTGTGGGGAATAATAGCCATTTTCTATACTTTTTGAGCATAAGCAATTACGAAATAACACTTACTACCCAGGAACAAAAATTGTGTTACATAGTGTATAATAATACCCGTTTATAATAATTATGAATACGATTATCACCGCAATGACGAAGATGATGAAGATGACGACGTTACCGATAAAGATAATCGTGCCGCTGATTGTCATGATGCTGATGATTGTATATGAGGCTGTGGCTGTTGCTGATGGCGAGCAATGATGAAGACGGTGGTGGCGTCTCACTTGTGTGCAGTAGACACAACGGCACGTCTGTAGAGCTGTCACATCTGCCGGTGCCGTGTCGCCCAGGCATAGCTTGCACACGATGCTCGTGCCCTCGGAGCCCGGCTCTGCATTCCCAACGCCCCCCACCTCCTCGGTCTCCTTGAGGCCATCCATGGCCTCCTCCAACACCAGGGCTTGGCTCTTTCAGGACTAGACTCCCATATCCCAGAGCCTGACACCAACAGCACAGAAAAACACATACGAACAGTAATGCAACAAAGCCAATGTAAAAGATCTCCCGTACAGCATTTCAGACTTTTGAAGAAAGTCCTATTATTGAGCAGTTATTATGGCGAGTGCAGGACACGAGGGGGTGGTGTGGTCCGAAACACGCCCGGCCGTCTTTGTCTGCCCAATGCTGACATTTACACAATGTACCAGGTACTCATTTCAGGAAGAATCGAACTAGAAGAGATACAGCAATAGTTATGATATTCAAAACCAAAGTTGGTGGCCAGGAATTGAACCCTAGTTTCAAGGTTTGTAGAGAAATGTAACAACCACTGAGCCACCACTCGACCCACTGCTAACCAGGTGGCACTGTTGTTTGGAGCACTGGATTTGCATAATCAGATTCTGAATTAAAATCCCAGTTGGGGGAAAGACTCAGCCATTCACATGAACTGGGTCAATAACATTATTATCACTTTGTGGTTCGTCCAATAGTGGTTGTAACCGAGCCTATACGCAATAAAATAAAGAAGCAGACAACACAACTCCTCCGTCCCATATCATCCCTCCACACAATAAAATAAAAGTAATTATTTTACATATCCCATCAGCCAGTCTTCTGGAAGTGCACAATTTCAGCAGCCTTGGTTATTCTCACGGCTGCAGCTGTGTTTGGGAGCTGTGTGCCACCACTATTAGTTAAAGCCAAAATTAGGCATATTTAGGATTTTTAGCAAATCGTAAACACCCGGTATATAAAAGGGAGGCACAGAAATAAACGTTTACAATTCTTAAGATTCCACAGAATTACCCAAGCTCTGTAGGCAAAGTAAGGCGCCATAGACTGTACAGGATATGGGAGAAACATTTCTGGATGGCCTGCACGGCTGCCTTGTTTTGTTTAACATTGGCAAACAGTGCAATGGAATCAATAAAGGCCAAGGCAGCTGGGCATATGGCGGTGTTTGATGTACACACCAGATGCACATTCTATTCTTCACAGATTTAAGTTTTATTGGCCGAGATATATCAACATGCGTCCAGCATCTGGAAGAAAGACATTCTAATCGGATAAGCTCAAGCAGGTAAATGTAATTCTTTATTATGACGCAAATTACTGTTATTTAGCACGTACCGATTGACTACTTTTAAAAATTATACTAAAAATAATCCTAACACAATGAAAAAGGGGAAATGCCGTCAGCAGCTTAGGTTAAGAGTGAGGTCAGCTGCAGACAATGCACCCAGATGACACCACAAAGCTGCAGTCGCAGCACAGGTTTATTTTGAATAAAGCGATCATTCATAGGTGCAATCAAGTCTTCGCCAACACGCAAGGACCAGCCGCGGAGAAGTACAGCAAAACAATTAATATGGTTTTCCACTTTTTTCTGGCAACAAAACTGAAACCTTTTTACAAGGATTCATGTCTGCATTTACCACAACACCTGCAGTCAAAAGGCAAACAAAAAAATACTATGATAATATATGCATTGTCCTTGAAACTGATTGGTCCACACCAAGGGACGGCTTTCTTTTGAGCCTCGACCAAATTGATGCTCGACCAGTTGAGGCTCAAAAAAAAGCAGCCCCTTGGTGTAGACCAATCAGTTTCAAGGACAATGCATATCTTCTTGGTTCTTTCGGTAAAGTCACGTAGAATGAGAATAAAACAATTGTCTTATTTTGTTTTATTGTTTTATTCTCATTCTACGTGACTTTACCGAAAGAACCAAAATGATGAATCCTTGCAGTCACGAAAGCTTTAAATCGAGACAATGCATATATTATCATAGTATGTTTTTTTTTCGATTTAAAGCTTTCGTGACTGCAATGATTCATCTTCTTTGGTTCTTTGATTCATCTTCTTTGGTTCTTTTATTTTATCAATTTATTATTTTATTATCATTCTACGTGACTTTACCGAAAGAACCAAAGAAGTATGTTTTTTGTTTGCATTTTGACTGCAGGTAGTGGTTAATGCAGACATGAATCCTTGTAAAAGTGTTTCAGTTTTGTTGCCAGAAAAAAGGGGAAAAACCCTATTATTATATTTTGGTACTGGCAAAGGAGGTCTAATGAAGAAAAATAATTCCCAAGACCACACGACACGGAAAGGCTTCAATCCGGCGGTGGATTTTTTTTTCTAAAGGGATGTCCACTCGTGTGATCAATTAAATAAATTAGCGACTTGAAAATCACCAGCTGTGGCATTACCTAACATTCTACTCGGATCGGGAAAACAGAAGTCCAATGCTGTTCTAAACATCCGCATCCTCTACTGCTTACAGGCAAAGCAGATCAAATGGCCTTGCCAAATGTCACGTTTGTCAACAGTCCCACCAACGCGGCTGTGCTGCCAGCCACGGTGGCTTGGACGCGAGGCAGGTTCCGTCGGCCTCTTTGCAGCGCGCTTGTACTCGGTGCGTCGTAAAAAGGTCTGAAAGCGCCGTGTACGCCGACAGTAGCGAGGTGCCGCCACTGCCGTCGGCGGTGCCAGGTGAACGTACGCAGTTCGACGTATTACTAGGCCAGTCGGATGACTGGTGCCGTTATTGTGTTGCTTCATTCACAATCGGAAGGAAGGTCGCAAGATCAAATCCCAGTAAACGGTCAACTAATCCCATATAACATGTTAATCGTCGTTATACTTTTCGGGTAAAAAAAAAATGCACTAAGTAAAAAATTAGCGATATTATACACCACAGAAATGTGGAATTTTAGATACTGATAGAGGCCCATCAACAAAGATGAGCATCACCTCTGTCTGTGCTGGGGTCTCTAGACAATAGACTGATGAGTCTATGATGATGGGGTCTCTAGACAATGGTCTGATAAGAGCAGCATCTGAAATGGGGGGGGGGGAATCTTCAAACAATAATACTTTCATAGACTGACAGAACAGTCATCGAAGCAACATTACTTTTAAAATAGACTTGGGTTGACACAGCTATTCACCTAACCCAAACAGAGCTAGCCATTGTGGCAGCCTGTGTATATTTATCATGTCACCAAGCCGACATAACCATGCAATAAGAGACAAAAATAGAAACGAAATAGAATCGTGGCACAACCATTAATAACCCTGTAATGCACAACCTCTGAGGACGTAAGACAAGCATCTCCACTACCATTCTGATTGGTTGGTGACACAACACCAGGCGTCAGTGGATGGGTATGTGGGTAGGTTTACATGGGCGGGTAGGTAGTATACGTGAACAAAAAATGCTATCGATTGAAATCGATTCTTATGCTCATGACATGCATATAGCATCATGCAGGAATTTTTTTATTTTATATTTGTATAGTTTGTGTTGCACAAAGCTCATGTGAACACCACCGCTTCCGTACCCAAGGTACCTATTTTCTGCTCGAGCTTGAGTTGGCGTGTTCTTCAATGGTACCCCAGTAAAACAGTTTCCCGTAGGCCATCTGATAATACAGAGCCCGAAACTATAGGTGGCACTTTGGGAGGGACCCTGCCTAATTAGCAGGTGTGTGTGTGTGTGTGACCTGGAATCATCTTTTGCGCCAGTTCGGTTCAGGGGGAACTCCAAGCAGATAGTTTCTTGGGGCCCTCATGCGAGGCCACATTCGAGAATAGAGTGGCCATTGGCTGTAGGTACGTTCACTACAGCAGTTAACGCTCGTGAAGAGTATTATCTCCCCCCCCCACCCCCTTTATTCGTTCAGAATATTTATTCATCCTAGAGAAAACGAATGAGCCACAAAGCTATTTTTCACAGATTAATTCTAACAAAAAATATTTATTGTAAAAAAAAAATTCGGTTAATTTCTTTCCTGCTGCTAAAATGGAAGGCTCCCACTTCAAACAATCAGATTTTTTTAAAGTATTCTGTAACATTGGGTCCATGAACAGTCACATCACGGCCATTCATCATCACCTTAAAATAACCAAACCTGGCCACAAGCTACTCGAATGCCAAATTATGTCTATAACCGGCAACCAGTCCCATCGATGCGTTTTCTGCCTTCCAACCCCATCTCCGTACACCGTCGCTGTTACCGAACCAATTGGTACATCTCACAAGAGTCTAAAACACTTTAAAGTGCTCAAAAACATAAAATTAATGAGGCTTAGTGCACTGGTTGGCGCGACAATAATGCTGCTTGGGAGGGCCTCCTTGAACTTGATTCTCGCTTCCTTTGGCGCACAAAGTTGTTTTGCAGCAAATGCCGAATCTTGCCCCAGTCTACATCATTGATATGCTGCACCCATATGTCCCCCCAAGGTCCATAAGATCTGAGGATGCCGATCTTCTCTGCATTCCCAGGTTGAGGTTTCGGTCTATGGGTGACCGAGATTTTCCCCATGTAGCCCCCAGGCTATGGAACGGTCTTCCATGGGATATCAGGATCTCGGAGTCTGTGGACGTTTTAAAAATGCGTCTTAAAACCTATTTATACGCTTCCGCTTATTAAACTTTTCGTTAATTTAGGAAACGGATGATAATATAATTTATTGTATGCTGAGTGTCTCCTGCTGCTGTGTCCTGTACAGCACTTTGAGATCCTTTAAGAAAGGCACTATAAATGGAATTATTATTATTATCAATATGTGCACCAGCTGTTACTCATGTTATGGTACTGGGCATGTTAGTTGTTGTCTCTTATGGTCATCATTTTTGGGAAGACTAAAACTCTGAACCAAGACATAACCTCAAACGCCAAGCACCAGTCCCTTTTAAAGAGAGCATGTATATGAGATGGTGTTTCTGTCTGCTTGCCAAATACATAACTGCAACAACAAAACATAAAACTAGCGAACGTGACATCAAGCGAGCTAAATATTTCTTTGCATGCAAGAAACTGGCAGCATTTTGTCCAGTTGGTTCTAATTCATTCGAGTAATTTGCTAAAGTTGTCAAACTATTTCAACCAATAAAGGGATGAATCTGGGTCTGTTATTGTTGATACAAAAAGACAAGGCCAATTGCTTTGATTCATATATGCATCAATTTCGACTCTTTATTGCAATAA